GTCGCAGAGGGTCAGAAAAATCTGATTTGATGCGCTTTCGCCTGCAGTGTGAACGTAGCCTATGATTAGCAAACATAAAAAGATCTTAGAAAGTAGACATTTGTTTAAAATGTAGTTTGCCTAAAACTTGTTTACTATATTGAACATTATTATTTAATACTTGTGTGTATTTGCATGTCTTTAGATGTATGCAGGTCGTTCCAGACAGACTCACATCCTCTTGAGTTTCTTGTAGGCAGAAAAGGCTCCAGCTGGGACACTTTTAATCAAGTTCTGCTCCAGACGACTGTAGAGAGAGAGAAAGAAATAAAAATAGAGAAATGGAGAAATATTTAAACTTTTTAATTACTGAAAAGATCATTTACGTCAACATAAAAAGAAACATTAAATTATGAATTTCCAATACATATTTATCAACTGGACACAGTAAGCTCATTTTTTTCTACTTCCAAGGTTATAATAAAGTCCTGTTTACCCGCCACCAAACGCAAGTGCACAAAAAGTTCAAAAGGTGGCTGTTCCAATCAACATCTACAAAATATTTCTGCAGGTGAGTCAGTGCTTTATAGCAGATGCGGGTCAAGGTCGCTCAGTGTGAGATGTTGACTTGAGTTTTGCAGCTCTGCAGTAATGCGTTTACATAGAGTCATTCTGTGAGTGTAGAAGAAGAAAAAGGCTCTGATGAAAATCTGGACTACTGACAACTAAACTTGTACTTCTAATGAAATTAAGGCCAAAAGGGCAGCATGTAATGAGATGTGATGAATGGGAACTGAAACATTCAAATGAATGTTAATAGGTTTTTCACAGCATCTGTCTACAAACTGTCCATGAACAGTTTTAAAGCGTAGTTACATGTGGGACAGAATAATCTGTTCAAAAATAGTTTAAATTTGAATCCAATAGATTCCTCGATCACTCTCCTCTGTAAATGCAGCGCCACCGTCTTTACAAACAGACTGGAAATTTCTCAGCTTTTTCAAAAGGACCAAAGGGAACTCCATCATTTTTTCTGGAAGGCTGCAGACCTATTAGATCATACTGGTAGTAATACTCTATTATCACATAGGGAGCCATCAAAACTAGGCACACAGCCGACATTTGGGAAAATTTACTACAGTTTAGCTTCTGCTCTCCTGATGCTCAAGGAAACCCGTTCAACTGTTCATGTGTTCTTCATGTCTCCATGGTGTTGTGATGACAAGGAGGGAAAATGAACACAAAAAAACCTTAATTACTGTTTTATTAAAATGAGTATTTAATAAAAAGTCACAGGAGTAAGATGAGTCAAATAATTGTGGACAAAAGAGAGAAGACAAAAGGGAAAGTCATAGGAGAGGAGCGGGAAAGGAGGGCAATAAAAAGGAAATCAGAGGAGTGGAAAAGTGGAGACAACAGGGGAGAGGAGAGGGAAAATCAGGAGAAAAGAGGAGGATGCAGCGAGGTCCCAAGGCCATCCACAGGGTCAGCTGTCAGGATGATAAATGGAAACTAATCCACCCTTCTTCTTCTTTTCACCCTTCTCTTCAGCCTCCCACCCAGTCATCCTCCTTACTTTAACTCACCCTCCCACTCTTTCCTCCCTGATGGCAATTGTATCTGTGCATCTCTATGTTTAAAATCACTGTTTTGAGTTCTAAATAACAAATTACAGTATGGACTCAAAGACTCATTTTATGTGGATAAACTTTATCTTAGTGTGCCAATTTGTGACCGCCGTGTTTTATGACAACGGAAGTTGTCCTGACTTTGAATGCAGGTCTTACATTACAGATGCCTGTTTCTTGGCTCGTGTTGCTCTTTAGATTTCATCTCTTCACTCCCTGGCAGCCAACAGCACTTTATTTCAACTCAGGGGTCAAAATAAATCAATGTATGGATACTGACAAAGACAATCTGCACACACAACAAGTTACAAATTACTTGTAGGGGTAGCTAAACAAGCTTTAGACAAAGACACTTAGAGGCTCAATATCAAAGGATGTATTTAAAAAGAGACGTTTTAAAAAGCTATATAAAAAATCTATAAGGTTAGGAGGCAATTAAACAGGAACAGGAACAGGAGATGAGTTTGGCAGGTTAGCCGGTGTGTTAACAACGGGCTGATTGTGCACGTATACAGAGATGTAGAAAAGAGCACAGACATTAACGTCTGTTGGATATTTGTTGAGGCAAACATGACAATAATATTTAACTTGAAAAGTTATGTTAAGATATTTAAAATGTAGAGTTATACAATGACTCTAAAAGGATGCAGACATGTAGCAGTGATCCTTGGCACCGGCATTCAGAAGGATGACTTTGTCTCCATTAAAGGGATGACAATACATCATCCTATTATACTCTATTGTTTCGTGCTGCAGCAGCAACATTCATTATCACAGATCCAATGCTAATGCTGTGCATGTGTGTGCGTGTCTGTCTGTGTGTGCATGCCCTAGAGATTTTATAAGGTGTTGTTATACTTATGGCTCAATCCAAAAACATACCTGTATGTGTGTTTTTTTACAGACTTTATTTGTGCAAACAAAACGACTGTGTCTGCATATGTGTGGGCTGGTGTGTGCGTGTCTTTGTGAGAATCTATTACTTATGCCGGGGAGGTATAACGGTATTGGTGTGCAGTTGCGGGCAAGAATTGCTCCTTTACTCACAGAGCAATCAACCAGCTGTCCTCTGTGCAAACAAACAGGGTACAGCGATCAATACGGATATCAAACACGTCCCCCTGTGGCGCGTGTGTGTGTTTAAATCGGTGTGTAAAAGAAAGGAAGAGCGTGAGAGGAAGACGAGGAAAAGTGTGGAGCTTGGGTGTAGTCTAAAACAAAATATCCCAGCAATGTGCCACAGCTGGGGATAGATTGGAGGCTTAATTTATCGTTTTATATCTTATAAGGCTTAAAGGAGTTGGTGTAAACTTTTAAACGTACGTAAACACGACCAAATCACTGGTGTGTGGCTAGGATGCAATTTCCAAAACAGCCAGTAAAAGTGTAGAAATATTGAGACATATACATACAGTGTTGGGGAGTAACGGAATACATGTACCGCCGTTACGTATTTAAAATACAAAATATGAGTAACTGTATTCCGTTACAGTTACCGTTTAAAAAGGTGGTATTTAGAATACAGTTACTTTGTTGAAATAAATGGATTACACGGCGGTACTTCCCTGTTTCATATTGTGGCGGGTCAGGACTGTTTGGGTTTTGTTTGACAGCTACGTTCTGTTGTTCCAGGTGGCAGCGTTACGGTTGCCATGGTTACAGGGTGACTCTCTCTCTGCGTGTTTCCTGGGTGAGAGAGGCCTTTTTGTTGTTGTTGTGCTAAGCTAACAGGCAGAATGCTACAGGTATAGCTCTAAAGAATGTAGCATCATGGGCAGTGTAGTCCGTGCTGCAGGGAGAATGGACTGCCATACACGTTATGTGTCTGTGAGCGAGGGAGGGAGAAAAAGGAAAAGTACGAGCTGTCATCGAGCAGAAACGGGAGCTGGAAGCATGTAAATATAATAATAACCACTGCAGCCAAGAAGAGAGCCTGACGAGCCCAGTTGTAAGTAAGCTATTAAGACTCGACTGTACACCGTGTTCGTGTTTTCCTCCAAAACAATAAGTTCTGTTGGAGCAGCCTTTCAACGCCTCTCTCTGTCTCTGCTAGCAAAGTTGACCCAGACAACAAAGTAAAGCTAGTTTTCGGAGCCGACACAGAACCCACCGTATTAGTCAGAGGTCCCTTTACTACGGTTCGGAGCCGCGGACCTTCAGTAACAGTAATAAATCACAGCAATAGTACATTCACGTAGTTGTAAACAGCATGATAATATATTAAGTAATCCAAAGTATTCAGAATACGTTACTCTCATTGAGTAACGTAACGGAATACGTTACAGAATACATTTTGGGGCATGTAATCTGTAATCTGTAATGGAATACATTTAAAAGTAACCTTCCCAACACTGGATACATATATGTCCAGGAAACGCAAGTTTTCCCCATCTGCAATAGAATGAACCCACGATACAAGACACATATACATATGAATTTGCAGAATTAGCAAGTAAAGCAGTCTTACATCTCCACGATGCCTTCAGGGAGGTTTACTGGGATTTCAGTGAGGCCTTTACGACGACAGTCCACTATGTTGTTGTTACAGCTGCAGCTGGGTGGGCAAACGGTCACCTGAGGAGCACAAGTCCTTGACTCGGTCTGGGCTGGACCTGCAGAAAGCAACACACAGATATGAGATTGGTTTCTTTATTTTTGGTTTTTTTAATTTGCAATTACAATCAGCCAAATATGAGGATGAAAACAAGCTGATGCTGTTGTTTGGTTTCCAAAGCAACCGCACTATATTCTTCACTAGATGCTATCTTTTGAGATGAAACGGGATTAATCGCTAAACATTACCTGGCCAAGATATGCCTGCCTAATATCGCTAGAGGAAGCAGGAATACAGGACATACATACAGAGAAGAGAAGGGGAAGATGGGATAAAAATAGTGAACAAATAAAAAAGTGAAAGAGCGGTCTCTTATTGACAGTAAGTGAGGAGAACGGAGAAAGTGCAATGAGAGGTGCTTTTCTGTGTAGCTCGTAGGCAGAAGAAAATGAGACTTAAGGCTAATAAAGAGAGCGCAGCCTGGCAGTCTATTAGCGCAGAGAGCTGAATCAGAAGCCTGTAAACATTGCCTACGCTATCTGCAGCTGATAACACTACTGCTCTTACTGTGGCTTTTTAGCTGATTACACGCTCTACACGCTGTAATTCTGTCAGTGTAATAAACTCAACGCTGAGCTGTCTGGAGACGATAACAACCCTGCGTTTAATACCGGCCTTTAGTTTTACTAGAGTCTCTATATTGTATACCTCTACAGCACAGAGTCAGCTGCCAACAGCTCTACAGTGAACACTGGCTCATTTCTAAATTATGTACTACCCATACATCACTCTTCCTCAAAAATTCAGGTTGACTTCATGAGATGAATGCTGTATTTATGCATCAGTGTGATGTAACTGCAGCCGAGCAGAGAGAAGGACCTAAAAGTGTCGATGAAAATAGACTAACCACCATTAAAATAGTGACATCTGAGTGTAAATGTGTTGTTGTCAACTCACCATTGCAGACAAAATCTTTCTTCTGCACATCTGGGACGTTGAGGCCCCTCATGTGGGCGGGGGCCATGCACTGGGTGAAGGGAGCCAAGCCCCGCCTGGCTCTGAGCCAATCAGAGAGCCAGGACAACTGACAGTCACAGTGGAGGTTGTTGGAGTGCAGACGGCTGAAAGGATGATAGATTTTGTGTTTAAATACGATTATTATCCAATCCAAAATAATATGTGACCACCTATCGTGACTTGAAAAGAAATTCTTACCAACTCTGGGTACAGCAGGTCAGAAGAACACATCACTAAGAGTGTTTGAGTCGGCATTCGAACAGAACAGACTGGATTTTTTGTTTTTACACATCTTTGCCGAGGATCATAAGGCTACTTTTTAGCTGAAACATGACAACACATACTCTCAGAGTCCTTTCGTCAACCCTCATTTCTCCAAGGTCTGTGATGAGTGATGAAACAACACTAAATCACAATTTCTTTAGAAACAAAAATATAAAGTCTTTTAGCAGCTATTTGGTTTTGGTGATGTTTTTGTGACGTTTTCAGGTGTTGATCCTGTTTTTGTGACAGTTTTTGAGACGGCATTTAAGATATGTTTTTGTTTTTATTTTTGTAAAATCAATGGCAACTTATTTTATGTAGCTGTAATCAAAATGCTTTTGTTGTTGGGAATGGACAGAAGACATATACCAATTAGCCATATTCCCAAAAAAGATACACAATGATGTCCATCCATCCATCTTCCTCCGCTTTATCCGAGGCCGGGTCGCGGGGGCAGCAGCCTAAGCAAAGAGGCCCAGACCTCCCTCTCCCCAGCCACCTCCTCCAGCTCATCCGGGGGAACACCAAGGCGTTCCCAGGCCAGCCGAGAGATATAATCTCTCCAGCGTGTCCTGGGTCTGCCCCGGGGCCTCCTCCCAGTGGGACATGCCCGGACCACCTCATTTTGGAGGTGCTGATCCTCATTCCCGCTGCTTCACACTCGGCTGCAAACCGTTCTAGTGCGAGCTGGAGGCCCTCACCCGATGAAGCCAACAGAACCACATCATCCGCAAAAAGCAGAGATGAGATTCTGAGGCCACGAAAGCGAAAGCCCTCCAACACTTGGCTGCGCCTAGAAATCCTGTCCATAAAAATTATGAACAGAACCGGTGACAAAGGGCAGCCCTGGCCGAGCCCATCACCCACCGGGAACGAGTCCGACTTATTGCCGGCAATGCGAACCAAGCTCTTGCAACGGTTGTATAGGGATCGAATGGCCCGTAGCAATGGGCCAGACACCCCAGACTCCCGCAACACCTCCCACAGGACACCCCGAGGGACACGGTCGAATGCCTTCTCCAAGTCACAATGTTACAACACAATGATGTTACAATGCAAAATTCTGTTGGGAAACCTTGACCCTCAACCTGATCGTGCATCAATGGTAAATTGACCTGGACCCTGCTCCACAACCCACGAGAGCCCAGAGGTCTTTTGTTCCAGTGACCTAGTGGGTAACAGAGGAAATGCTGTGGCTGACTGCTTATCATAACGACGATTCAACTGACCTTTACACTTAAGATAAGTAGAACTGTTATCAGGTGACAACATTGAGAATTAATTTCAAGTGACATTTAATGCATTTAAATTATTTAAAGAAAATTGTCACACTAATAGGCTTCTTAAAATTCACTTGTAGCATTAATTAAAAGGTTCTGCTCTCTATAGAAAGCATCAGGTGTTGCTTCACGGAGCTCACTCTCTACAGGCTGCACTGGCTGGACTGTATTGGCACCTCGAGAGAGAGAGAGTGAGCGAGAGATGAGGAGGAGGAGGGTGGATAAACAGCAGAATGTCTTGTCAGCGTATTATATGCCAGCCGGGATATCTGCCCTTTCAGAAGACAGGCCTCCTTTTGTAATAAAGCAGAGGACAAATCCTGTTATGGAACAGAGATAGTCTCATTGATGCTAGCAGCGGGGGCAGTGGGTTTTAATACCGCTCTCCCATTATAAATCCAGTTTATAGTTGCACCCCCGCCTGGAGATAGCCACGTCCTGGCCCACCTCCGGCTCAGCCTTAATTACTGACAAGTAGGATTAAAACACAGGGGAGAATGGGAACAGGCAGGGGGTGTAGAGAGCTGTGTTTGTGTGTGTGCGGACTGTTGTTTGTGTATAGCTTCAAGTCAGTTTGAATGCATCTGTTGATGTTGTTGGTTGCAAGTGACTAGAAGCATTGTGCAAGCTGGTTAGGTAAATGAATGTGTGTCTATATATGTGTGTGTTTATTCTTAGAGTCGTGCTGGGGGGTTACTGGACACATCTTGAGAACAGTTGTGCCCCAAACACAGTAAAGTAGCAGTAGGAGGTCTGATCTTTCCACTGGGTCAAGTTCATGAATGAAAGATATCATGATGTGATGCCATTACTACTAATAGGCTACACGGACACTGAAGAAAAAGAGAAATAAATATGGATTATAGCTTCAGGGAAGGTGAACCACTTTTTCCTCAAAGAAGTTTTTACGCACACAAACACATACACGCACTTCTAGAACTTCTCTGCTAATCATATCAGGGACATCTCTAAAGATTTGATTGAATGAGTCGTTTTTATAAAGGCATCAAATTCAATACTGAGATCTGAGGGTGGCAAAGGAGAACGCTTAAAAAATTTAATAGAGAGAAAGATGCAAGACGGGGGGGAAAGCAGAGAGGGATGGTTACTGGACGTAAAGGAGATGTGGTAGAGAGGAAGGGGACTAACATGAGGCAGGAAAAATACAAGACGAGAAGAGTAACAGAATAAAAAAAGATTGAAAGGACAGAGGAAGCGATAAAATGATCCAGAGTATACCAGGAAGGAGAAAACCAATGGAGATAATGAGGCGAGTAAAGACATTTTAGAGAGAAATGAAGGGAAGAAAGTGATTAAAAACAATCTGAGACATACTGTAGAAGATCGGAGGAAGATGGGACAAATATGAAGCAGAAACAGGGAAGAGGAGGAACGTGGAAATCAGAGGAGACAGTCACTCAGTGTTGACAGAAAACAGAAGCGGACGAGGGTCTCTGATTAAAAGATATTGGATATTGGTAACTCTGTACTCAATCTGCTGGCAACTGTGCTGCCTGAAATCCAATTTTAAAAGCCTGATTTCAAGCTGTATTGCCACTAGAGTTGCAGCAGCATGCAAGAAAAATGGAAACCCCGCTATGGCTATTGATGGCCGTTGTCGGTCAAAAGTTGAAGCACAAAAAATGGCTGTGAAAGATAAATCTGTGTAAATGTTATCCTGCTTGTATTTAGCTGGGTTTTATGTTTAAAAATCCCCATTTCATTGTTAAGTAGAGCGGTGTGACCACACAAGAGCCTCTCAGAAAATGATGATTCGGGGAGGAAATCCCATTTGGTGCATGCCACGGTTTGGCAGAAGTCAACCCCAGTGTGGCCAGAAGGAACGCAACCCACGGTCTGTCTCACAGAAAGTCCCACGAGATTACGATTAGAGACTCCCTCGAGATGTTGTGCCATCACCTTGGCAACTGAAAGATCACTTTCACACAACTAAGCAGAAAATGCACACATACACAAACAAATCAAAGCCCCCTTTAAATCAGTCAGAGATGATAATTTGGCGTGGGTTCATCTCGGACCACAATAGTGTGTTTGTATGTGTGTGTTCACATCAGTAACATCAGTGAAGGAGGTTTCTTTTAATGAATCAAAGCAGATTGAACTATAGAGCCTAAACAAGTCTTTCTTGTGGCATTAATGAGCTTACCATTACTCAAGCGTGCATGTGTGTGTCTGTGTGGTACATGCACATATTTGTGTACGTAATGGCCACATGATTATTCACAGTCATGAAACAATAGAAGAGTCAGTCTCTTATTATGGCGAGATTAGCCAATCACACAAGCTGCCTCCATCCGTTATATGTGTGCATTTTATTATGTGGTATGTGTAACTATGCATCACCTATGTAGTGGTCAGTTGTGATGTGAGTCATGTGTACAAGGTGCGTATTAATATGTAATAAAACAGTAACAGAGTCCTTGTGTGTCAGTGTCTACAGTATATGTTTGAAGATTTCTCTTTGTGGTTGATTGTGCATGTCAGAGTGTGTAATACTCACAGTGTCCGCAGCTTTGGCATGTGGTTGAAGCTGGATAGTGGGATGAGGGTGATGTTGTTGTTGTTGAGAGTGCTGGACACACAAAAACAGAGGGAAGGGAAATCAGAGATGCAGGTTTTTTT